TCCCACAAGTCCTCTGGTCTTTGGTCACTGGAATTCAAGGCATCAAATCTATTCGCATGGTCTCTGAATTCCGGTGGGATGCAATCCAGGTCGTATTTTGGCTCTTGTGGACTTGCTACTTTACTTTTCTTTAGTTTCAACTTGAAATTGCATGTGAGCAGTTGATGGTCTGGTCCACAGTCAGCCCCGGCCTTGTTTTGACTAATGATATTGAGCTTCTCCATCACCTCTTTCCACAGATGTAGTCAGTCTGATTCCTGTGCATTCCATCTGGTGAGGTCCACATGTACAGCCACCATTTACGTTGTTAAAAAAAAGGTATTTGCAGTGAATAAGTTGTTGATCTTGCAAAATTCTCTCATGTGATCTCTGGTATCATTTCTGTCACCAAGGCCATATTTTCCAGCTACTCGTGATTCTTCTTGTTTCCAACTTTGCATTCCAATCACCAGTAATCATCAATATATCTTGGTTGTATGTTTGTAAATATGTAAACATGTGTTAAAGGAAACTTAGACTTAAGTAGGAGAGAGATGGAACATATAAAAATTTTCCAGATGGAACTTCTAGAGATTACAAATACTGTGCTTGGGATAAAAATTTCACCAGAAGGAATTAGCAGTTGATTAGATATTTCAGGACATCAGTGAACTTGAAGTTGTAGCAATTGAAACCATTCAAACTGAAGCAGAGAGATTAAAAAAAAAAAAAAAAGACTGACAACAGCCTCCATCACTTGTGGCATGACATACATGATTGATGAGGAAAGGATTAGGGGGTGGTCTGAAAAATATTTGAAGAAATAATGGCGGCTGAGGTTTCCCCAAATTTAATGAAAACTATAAACCCACAGATCCCATAAACTCAGTGAACTCTAAGCGGTATAAACACAATGAAAGCCTACCAAATCCATCATCATAAAATTGCTATAAGCCAGTGATTAAAAGGAAATCTTGAAAAAAGTGAGAGAAATAAAACACATTAAGTATGTAGGAATGTAAGAAATGCTTCTCACTCTGAACCATACCAGCCAAAACAAACGGGACAACTTTCAATGCTGAAAGAAAACGTTCTTTCAAACGAGAATTATATACACATATAAAGTAAAACCCACTGCCATGGAGTCCATTCTGATCCACAGCGCCCCTAGAGGACAGAGTGGAACTGCCCACAGGGTCTCCCAGGCTGTCAATCTTCACAGAGGCAAAGCCCAAACCACACCCACTGCCTGGAGTCCACTCTGACCCACAGCGCCCCTAGAGGACAGAGTGGAACTGCCCACAGGGTCTCCAAGGCTGTCAATCTTCACGGAAGCAAAGCCCAAACCACACCCA